ACAGATACTTTAAGAATAGTGTCTTATGTTTAATGGGATCTCATGATTAAGTCACACTTAACATTTCATTAAACAAATAAACCATTCTAGGGACTTTATTATTTTGGAAAGCAAACATAATAAAGAAATGCCTTTTATTATTAATAAATAATTCGATACAAGTACCAAAAGTATTGGCCTCTAGGGCTTACACCAACACACGTTACCAGGGCAAGAAAGACGAGGGGGTTGACCCTTAACCAATATATCACGTTATCTAGGCGAGAGAAGAGCAGGAGTGAATTGTCACCGGCGACTAAACACCTAACTAAGATATCACCTTATCTAGCTATGAGATAGAAGGCAATAGTGAGATTACATTGGAGCATCAACTTGTACGTCACGTGATCTAATGACAAAGTGTGGGGGATTGGTTACAGATCCCTGTATTCCACTTGACTGGCTCGATATCAGGAATAACATGATTCGTAGCATCGATGCACGATACGAGCTACGAATGACACATATTGGAAATGGTGGGGTCGATTGCGGACCTTCAGCTCGCCTTGCCTTCTTTGAGGATTTAATAATGGGGAATGGGAATGAGACGCCTTCATTGAGGTCTTTGGCACAAATGTAAACACACATAATAGTAAACACGCACAAGTAGGAATTTCCTTAAACAAGGTCTTTAAATAAACCAGATTTGCCTCAAAGGGACTCCTAGGACATGCATCTCTAGTCCTACTTCTCATGGAAAGGAAAAAGATAAATCATACATATCTATTCCTACTTATCATGGCATCATAAAGAGGTAAAGAATGCAAGAGATAAAAGGAAACAAATAAGAATACCAATCAAACGCAAGTTCTTCAATTATCAGATGAAAGCAAAGAAACATGAAATACTTCGAGCTAGCTTCACCAAGAAAGCACAATAGTCTGAAATAATATCCAACGAACATCAAGTGATAAAATAAATCTCGAGCCACGAATGTATCACATCGTATCAGAGTTCCTGCACAAGATAATACTATACAACAAAAGCAATGTCCAGACAAATCGCATCATACGGTAAAGTGTCCTCCGAAGTTGCACAAAACCACCAAATGAGTTAGCAAATAACAATGCAACATCAAGTATCAAATTTCAAATCAAAAGTAACGATGAAATGAAAATGAATGAGGTACAATTAAGCAATGGAAAGCGGGGATTAAAACTCAGGCATCACTACGCACACAACACAAATGCATTCGGAAAAAACATCGAAAATGGCATAACATGACAACAATGGTTCATAAACACCAAAACATGTTCAAACAAGCCTTAAACGATATTTAAAACATGTATTTACACTTATGTATTAAATCCAGGAAGCAACTCATATAAACTTGAAATTGATCGGTAAAATGCACCGAAAGCAACTCATCAGTAATGGTCATGGAATGATTAGTTATGTACAAATGAACATCAAATGTCAATTAAAATGGCATGTACATGTGAAATTAAAAATGGGACAACAACTTTCTATTCACAAAACGCACAAGAAAATGGTTCAGAAAACAACCGAAATGGTACCAATACGCATCAACTACCAAGGCAAGCTTCCATGACTGCTTAGCAACAATTAAAACGCACTTTTCACATTATTTCCTAACACCGGACAACAACTTTTTACTCCTCCAAATTAATCGTAAAATTGAATTTAAATTGCCAAAACTCAACACAAATCCGTCCATACAACGCACAAGTAACTCAAATGAACCTCGAACAGTATTTAAAACTCGATTTGCACCTTATTTACAATTTCGGATAGCAACTCCTACTTGAACCGAAATCATTTGAAATTGATTTTAGCCGTTATAAACGGATACGAAAATGAACTTTTCAGTTCAAGTGTTACCGTCTAAAAATTATAAACGAGTTACAAACGATCAAATCATATCGATGCCTTAATTCCGCACATAAATCAACATTTAAACAGTTAACACAAGTGCATCGAATCAAAACATTTTTCCAATATCGAAACTTGAATTTATCAATCAAACAATATAAACTTGCATTAACTCATGAAAATCAATTTAATTCTCAAAATAATTCTTCAATCGACATAAACCAAATACGATGTTAAAGCTCTCAATCAAATAATCGATTTCGAATTTATTCCACAACATCGCATGATTCAATGTAATCCGGGATTCTCAAATAAACACTTTCTCATGAAAATCAATTAACCAAAAAGTGCTTAACTCCACAGTTATCCAATTCCGGATTTATTCGACATTATCCTTATCAATTCATAATTAATAATTAAACTCAAGAATTAAACATTGTTTAACTCATGAAATTCAATAAAACTCAAGAAAAAGCATTTATGCACAAAATTGATTATGTAAAAGTACTTAAATCAAGAGGATTAGAAATTATCGCGTCGAAATCGAAGAGGAGAAGTAGGTGGAAGTCGGAATCACGAAATCAAATAGAAGAAGCTGTGAAACGGAGGGGACTAGTGTCGCCGGAATCATGAAACGGTTGAGGGAGTTGGCGCCGCGACGAAGCGAACAACGAAAGTATCGTGGCCGTGTGGCTGGTGCGACGGAGAGGGAGGAGGAGAGCACAGTGGTGCCAGAGAGAGGGAGGGAGAAACAGCGGTGGAGAGAGAGAGAGAGAGAGAGAGAGAGAGAGAGAGAGAGAGAGAGAGAGAGAGAGAGAGAGAGAGAGAGAGAGAGAGAGAGAGAGAGAGAGAGAGAGAGAGAGAGAGAGAGAGAATTGGAGGGAATTTTGAGATTTTGAACTTTTCTTGAGAGAGAGAGAGAGAGTAGAGAGAAAATTATTTGAGTTTTTTGGGTGAAACTTTACAAATGATTGGAATATTGTGAAAATAGAGAGGAAAAATTGATATATAGTGTGAAAATTGGGCCTGATTTTCTTTTGAGTGAATTTGGGCCTTATTCGGATTGCTTAGTGTCAGAAACGCACGAATCACAGGGACATTGGTACCTGTGCAAAATTAGGACTCGGACTCAACAACAAAAATGTCGGTGATGAAATTTATGACGCCTTCCTGAAAGAACCGTCTGAATCGGATGAAAGAAGAGAAAGTTATGAATTTTTGAATGGCGAGAACGTTGGACACTGACGTTGCCATTTTCGGTAATGCAGAATTTTTCATTGATCGATTTGAAAAATGAGCCATCAACTGAAGTTTTCGGAGCTGCATTCGAACTCGAGCCCTGAAGAAAACTTGTAGGTGACATCATTTGTGAAATTAATCCGAAATAATTGCCTTGATACTATAAAAATAGAAGAAATTATGATTTTTACAGTATCAAGAAACGGTGAATTAAAATTCTGGTTCAGCACAATAAAATCTCTAGCAATTTGCATTTTCGGGGACTTTCCTCAATCAATCGTTCATCGACCCGAACATACGAAATTAAGATGGCATCAAAATGGATTTTTCTCCAAAAGAACCACTAAAAAACATTGCACCAGGTGAAAGTTATGAATTTTCGAACGTCTAAAAAATAACGGTTCAGCACACCGTTTACACCGTATTTCCACTGTACCATTTCAAAGTATCTGCACGTTCGGAGATCTTCCTTACTAAATCAGCTTCCGAGCCGAACATACGTAATGAAGAAGACAATAAGACAATTTTAAATCCTCAAGAACCGCTCCAAGACAATATTCCAATCAGAAGTTATGAATTTTTAAGTGCTCGCGTAACGACAGACCATCAATTAAATTTAGTACACCGTCTTCAAAGAATTAAAATTTTCGGAGGTCTTTTTCACAAAATTAGCCTTCGATCTGAACACGAGAAATGATAAGAGAATCATGATGATTTCAATTCTAGAAGAATCAACTGAAAATACCGAATCGGATGGAAGTTACGAATTTCCAAACACCCGAAGAACAAATAACCAGTCATTTAATTTGAATACCATTTCAGGGGAATCAAATTCTTTGGAGACTTTCTGCATATAATTGGCTTGCGGTCTGAACAGATGAAGTGAAGAAGACATTGAGACGGTTCCAATGCCTGAGTAACCAACTCAAAATAGTATCCTGATTGTAAGTTGCAAATTTCTAAGCTCAAACCAGCAAAAACACTATTTCTGGTTCACACTGTCTCAAATACCCCGAAACACCCAATTTCTCCCCAATTCAGAGTGTGTGGAAGTACATGAGAGCTTGACACGATGATGGCTTGATTGATCACTGGTTTGATAGCTTGTGAGATGCGTGAAAAGTGTGTCATGTCTAGGGGGTCTCTAGGAGACGACATTCTAGAGGAGGTGAATTGAGGTGTGGCCTAGGAATAATTTTACCAAGGTCTCATGGTGGGCGCCAATGTTCCTATCTGGAATAAATATTCGGCCGACTTCCCAGGAGGTTGCTAGAAAGAGCCTATCGGAGTGAGTTTATGAAATGATTGAGGAATTTGGGAGCTACAACAATGATGTGTGTGTCTCAAGATGAATATATTGCTTATTCTTCTGTCGGGAGCCCCTTCATATAGTGAGCATCTTTGCTTCATCAAGAGCCTCAATTAATGAGTGACTCTTGAGTTCCATAACTACATAACCTTCGTCGTCTCCATGTATGAGGATGATTAGTGCTGTGTAACATAGTAATGCACCGTCGGAGGTTACATGCTTTAATGAGCCAAGAATGATGATCGGTTACAGGCAGGTGCTACTCGGTTATCTACCCTACCCGGGTCGATGGTGGCGGCGAGTTGCTACCCGGGTCCATGGGTCATATGACACTCCTTTAGCTGAGTTGCACCTCGGATACCCACACCGTGAGCCGACTACTGGTTTATCTTTTTCCCTTGCTGATTACACTGCCCGGTTGGGCCTGTCATTTATAGGATGTACAAGAACGAAGAGAGATCAATCCTGGATCTCGAGCATCTTCCAGTGAAGTACGAGCCACAGAGAAGAGGTCAAAAAATAGTCCAACTATTTCAACGGCCACCCAATAATATCTATTCGCATTGATCAGTGCTACTAATCAAAGACCTCTACGGGTCAATGCGTCAGCTCTGTGATGATCACAAGGATTGACCCAAGACACGATATCATGTTTCCCTTCACACTCCAGGTGACGAGAAATCTTAGCGTTGATAGGGTCATGTCCAACTGACTCCTGGTATGTTTGAACAAAACGACTGACACGTTCCCTCCTTTGGAGGGAAACCTCTATTTCTGCCTCGGTCAAGACAGGAGGAGACATTGGTCTCTCGGAAAGATTTTCTCACCATCAGATTTCATAGGAAACATGGATTCTAAAGTATTCATGGAGAAGGCTTCATCTGACAAAGATTCTCCAAATGACTCCTCCATCTTCGAATCACCACTCAAAATGATAACTCCTGATTTAAAACCCCCATTGACAGAGGGGAATGAATGCGACTCAGACTCCATTCCCCTTTTCGAAGATGAAGAGACACTTTTCTCTGAGTCACTCTAGAAGATAATATGATACCATTCATCGTAATGAATCTGATGGAAAGCGGGAAATGGGGACAAATCGACGGTCAGATTTCATTTGGGGAAGACAACTACACTTAAGTGTACTCGAGTACACATATAGCTGAGTCACGTTACCCCATATATTTTCAGGTCACACATCAAAGAAAACGACGAAACATATTTAATGATGGGACTGCATTTAATGCTTGCATCCACATCAGGCTTTGAAAAAAAAACAAAACGGCGCATACCAGCCAACGCCTGGATGAAATTCTTTTGAGGATGACCACTATTATTGAAAGACTACACCGACATCAAACACATCCAACGAGTCTTGGAGACAACTGTTCCGTATCGGCCAAAGACCCGGAACCAATGCTTTGCGCCAGCCAGAGGTCCAATAACACGAGGCTCATTACCCAACTTAATCCACTAGGCCTAAGGTATAAATATTTTCGTAAAGAGTTTTAAATTACACAATATCAAATCTCCACTTTCACTACCATCTATCTTGAACCCTAAACTGACTTGGACATTAGAGTGCTAACCGTACATGTATCCCCCCTTAGATCTACTGTATCGGAGATAGCAACACTGTTAACGACGTCGCCTCAATATCGATACCTGCAATTTAAAAAGCAACGTGATCGCAACTTTCAATCTACAATGTCACATCAACGTAGTGTATCAGAAACTCCTTTCCATCGCACTTTCCGCAACCATCAATATTTCTAATTTTCAACGGAACAACCATATTAACGGCTTATCCTACTTGAAGCAGATAATAACACAACTTTAAATAAATAAGAGACTCAATATGAGCTATAGTCCTAAAATATAAAGAGTTATGATCATAACGTATGCTTTCAAAACTCCTCATCACATACCTATACACTAATAAGATCTTGACCATAACAAATTACTAGCTAGTCTATTCTCCATGTTTATCAAGAACAAAGAGTAATGAAAGTTATTTTAACTTCCGAACTTGTAATTTTTTTTAAAAGGTAATTTGCTAATATTGGCTTGCCATCTCAACATTATAAAGCATGTCATCATTCTAACACTCATTTTGAATTTCTTTAACTAATATAGTCATAAATTTGAAAATTGACAACGTGGTACATATTTTGAAACAAGAAAAAATAATCTTAAACGACGGTGAAAATACATAACTTAAAGGACTATACAAATTTAAAATATATTAATTAAATATATGCTGGTTATTTTTATAAACAAAGCTCCAATCTCAAATTTTATTTAATGAAGAACTATACGTTCTTGAAAATATCATTTCGAGCATCAAAATAGTATTGTGGATTTGGCAAAAAAATAGACAATAGAGATAGAAGTAGTATACGTCCTTTCTCACACCACTAATTTAAGTTAGAGTTTGAAGATGAAAATAAGAAAAAGACAAACCTTACATTTAGGTGGAACCTAATCACAAGAATATAGTTAAGTGGATAGTCAACTACTTAAAATAGGAAAATGTAGTATTACGTATCGATATATAGTGTAGGAATAAATATCTTTGTAAGAGACACATCAGTTTTCTATCTAAAACGTTAAGATAATAGGTGAGTGAATTCTCCTACTTATATATATTTAAGTTTTTACATTCTTATCCAATGTGAGACTATTTTCTTACTTACTCACATTTGCAATATTATTCGGTTAACAAATTGAATAATACAAATCAAATAAATTTATTTTTCAATTGTGATTTAATATGTCATTATGAACGAAAGTTTTTTTTTCTTAAGGAAAATCTCTTGAAGATGCAGCTAAACAATGGAGAAAAATATTGTTGAAAGTAGAAATTATGGTTTTTTTTGTAAGGAAAATATTTTGAAGATGCAGTTGAACAAAGTATAAAAATATTGTTGTAATCTTTTAATATAATAATTAGAGAAGTTTTTTAATAATTACAAAAATAACTTCTAATAATTTTTATATTAAAATCTCGATTTGAATGTTATAGACTCTTAAAGTGAACATCTTGAATGTTAGAAATTTAGGGTGTGATAATCCTGGATAACTTCGATGAATCGTGTTCGTACACTTTCCGAACAAAGTATTTCGACCCTATTCTTGTCTGGGTTCACGAAATCTTTGTGGGGATAATTCTCGAAGAAATTTTGTTTCCGACAAAAGAAACGAATTGTAATTATAGAGAGAAGAATGCGTTTTTCTGTATGCGAGACCGACCGAACGACTCCTTATATAGGAGAACAGTAATTGAAACGAAGAGACACATTTGTTCGAAACGAATATGTACGTTGGGAAACAGTTATGTCCGTTGGGAAACAGTTATGTCCGTTGGGGAACAGTTATGTCCGTTGGGGAAAGGATTCAAAATTTTTGCACGGGCCGCTGCCCCGCACCCCGCCCGCTGACCTGGCAGCGGGACCCCAGCCAGGGGCTTCCGCCCCTTGGACCCCGCGGGGCGCTGCCCCGCACCCCGCCAGAGGCTTCGCCCCTTGGAACCCAAACGGGGTGCTGCCCCGCACCCCGCCAGGGGCTTCGCCCCTTGGAACCCCGTTTCAATTATTCGTATTCAATTATGTATTGGCTCGACGAGCGTGCACTCCGCACTTCCTTAACTCGTCTCTGAACTTAACGCATAATTGCATCGGCCTTTAGAAATCACATTACTACTAAAATACATTGGTGATACAAAATCGCCAACATTGAATATATATATAAGTTATATAAGTAGAGGTCAAATTTTCTAAAAGTAATTGTTTATATAATTATTTTATTTAATAACTCATGTTAAATATTATATTTTTATTAACCAAATCATTTAACTAAAAATTATTATACATAGACTAGATAATCTTTACTATTTTATATAAAATTTCAACAATTTTAGCTATATAATCGAATAGTCGATGTTTAATTATAATTTTTTTAAATAATTATATATTAAATTGAAGTTATTAGATAAATTAATAAATAATTTTAAAAAATTATAGCATTATTAAATTACTTAAATCTTGTTAATTTAAATAAATTGGTAGCTGCATATATATTTGATTGCAATAACACAAGTTAGAACATGCAATATTTCACTTATTATAACATTTTGATTAGTAAATTACTAGAAAAATAATTTCTTATATTTTTTGTCTAATAAATTACACTAATATTAATAAAATTAATCATTTTAAAAATTATATTTACGGTTAGGTATGAGCTTTTGAATTTTTGAAAAAAAAATTTGTTGAAATAGAATTATAAATATGAATAGTATGGAGAAAGTCTTATAAAAAGATTTAAAAATTTATAAAAATAAAATTCACTTATTTATTATTTTAAAATTTTAGGTAAATATATGCCATATCTGTTACAAATATCTATTACTGAAAAATATCCTTAAAATGGTTCCATCTTCGAGACAAATAATATTTATAATGAATATTATAAAATAAAATTGATGGATTAATATTCCTCCCGTCTCTATATATAGCCAGAGAAGTTTCTATGTTTATAAGCCATCACCCTTTTTTTTATTCCATCATAACACAACCAACACATACACATAAAACAATATTTTAAACCTTAACGTTGACAACGGTAGAACATAGTTGGTCATCAATGAAACCAATATTGGCTCAGTTATGCATTTCTCCCAACATACGCAAAGCCAACAAGAAAGTCAACAACTTTTCATCAGATGAAACATGTCTCAATAACATTCACTCAGATTCTCTTTCAAACTTTTTCGAGCTTGGTCTTCCATGTAACGAGCCTCTGGAAGAAAAACTCTCTTGGATTCAATCACAAATCATAGGTAATGATACAGAGTTTGATTCTCCATTTGGAAGAAGGAGACTTGTATATGCAGATCATACAGCTTCTGGTCGAAGTCTTCATTGCATTGAAAACTTCATCACCAAACATGTTCTTCCTTTCTACGGTATTAATATTAATATTAATATTCACTATATATATATATATATATATATATATATATATATATATATATATATATATATATATATATATATATATATATATATATATATATATATATATATATATATATATATATATATATATATATATATATATATATATATATATATATATATATATATATATATATATATATATATATATATATATATATATATATATTTATGCAACTCTAGGTGCATTATTGAGTTATGAAAATTATTTTCGATTATATATAGGTAATACTCATACTAGCGAGAGTCAGGTTGGACGCAGAACAACAAAAATGCTACATGAAGCAACGGAGTATATTAAGAAATGTTTAGGAGGTGGAGAAGACGAAGCACTCGTGTTATGCGGTTCGGGTGCAACCGCGGCGATCAAGAGGCTACAAGAAGTAATGGGAATTGGTGTACCTTCAATTTTGAGGGAAAGGATGTTGAGGTGCCTTGATGAACAAGAAAGATGGGTGGTTTTTGTAGGACCTTATGAGCATCATTCAAATTTACTTTCTTGGAGGCAGAGTTTGGCTGAGGTTGTAGAGATTGGACTTGATGATAAAGGGTTGCTTGACATGGAAGCTTTAAAGATGCAACTTGAGGTTTATAAAGATTCTAATAGACCTTTGTTGGGATCTTTCTCTGCTTGTAGTAATGTTACCGGAATTTACTCCGATACGCGCGCAATTGCTAGGCTTCTTCATCAATACAATGGATTTGCATGTTTTGATTTTGCAGCAAGGTATACATACCTAGTTAGAATTGTCCATAAACTTTTCTATTTAAGAGCCGTCTTAAATTTTTAAAAAATTTACGTCACTATTCAACCATGACAATATTAATGGATAAGTCTTACTTAACCAAACTTTATTTTGATTGAGTTTAAGTATAAAAAATTTTGAGTTCTCTCTGGTATCTGTCTTACTCGTCATCAAAGACTAATCAAGTTGATAATTAATTTGATTTTTGTAGTAGTAGGACCAAGTGGCA